TATATACTATATATACATATGGGGCATTTCTTTTCTAAGCAGGACAGTGCTCTCTCCATTTTTCCTTGAATCCAAATCAACTTTATTTAGGCTCAAAATTTTCGCCTTGACATTTACTTTCGAATGCCGTTAGGCCTTTTTCAAAATTCGACATACCTGAACGTACAGAAAACCTAGAATACATGGAAATTTCGAAAAATGTCACAAAATACTTAAAATAAAATCAGGGGAGGTTGGTAATGGACCGGAAAAAATTGCTGATCACTTTCAGAAATATATTCTTAAAAAATAAGAGACTTTCCGAGTCCCAATTCCAAAACCTAAAACCTACGAACCTAGAACCTAGGAGTCTAAAACCTAATAATTTGGCTAAAAAATGCTTTTCGAGATTATAATCTAGCGTGGAGCTATAGATGAGGCTTGATTATGTCAATCTAGTTAATCTTGATGAATTTGGAATATCAAAAACCCAGGATCCCAGAACCTGAGAGCCTAAAATCTGAATGTACACCCAAAAAACCGCTGTGTTTGACATTGTAATCGAGCTGGGAGATCTTGATGAGGCCTATTCATATTAGATCAGTCTATTTGGTGATGTTCGGATATTTAAGACTCAGGAATCTAAAATCTAAGAATCCAAAATGCAGTCTTTGAGCAAAAACTGTTGCCAGGTTTGCGGAAGCCTTCTTTGAACAATGTTCAAAATACTGCATATCATGTTACAGAATAAATCAAATTATATTACGCATTCTTTGCGTTGTCCAGGGTCAACGACGAAGACGTGACGGGTGTCTGATCCCATATGTATGTGTGGTATATTTTTGCTCAGACTGCATTTTGAATTCTTAAATTTTAGGTTCCTGAACCTTAAATATCCGAACATCATTAAAATGGATTGATCTGATATGAATAGAAGATCTCATCAAGATCTCCGAGCTTGATTATGTCAAACAGCGGTTTATTGGCTGAATATTCAGATTTTAGGTCTTCAGGTTTTGGGTTGCTGGGTTTTAGATATTCTAAATTCATCAAGATTAACTAGACTGACATAATTAAGCCTTATCTATAGCTCCACGCTGGATTACAATCTCGAGGAGCGTTTTTTGGCCAAATTGGTAGGACTTAGGCTCCTAGGCTTTAGGTTTGTAGGTTTTAGGTTTCGGAACTTCTCTTATTTTTGAAGAATATATTTCTGAGAGTGATCAGCAATCTTTTCCGGTCTATTAGCAACCTCCCCTGATTTTATTTTAAGTATTTTGTGACATTTTTCAAAATTTCCGTGCATTCTAGGTTCAGGTATGTTAAATTTTGGAAAAAGCCTAACGGCATTCGAAAGTAGAGGTCGAAAATTTTAAATCTAAATAGTTGATTTGGATTCAAAGAAAAATGGCGAGAGTACTGATACACTTAGAAAAGAATGCCCCAAATATTGGGTCTGGGAAAAAGTTCGTTTTTTTAGTAAAATTCAACTAGTTTCCTTATAGTGTGAAAATGAATTTATTTAAACCAAATATGCTCCATTATTATCGACAATGTTTCGCCATTTTTCGGGTAGAGCCATGATGCCATCGGTAAAGAACTTCCGTGGTTTCTGGTTGAAAAACTGAATCAAGTGGTTTTCACAGGCTTCTTTTGAAATCAGCTTAATTCCATTGAGAGAGTTCTGCAGAGATCGGAACAAGTGATAGAGGGTGCTATGTCTGGACTATACGGTGGATGCATCAAAACTTCCCAACCAAGCTCTCGCAATTTTTGACGGGTCATCAAAGAAGTGTGTGGTCGAGTGTTGTCATGATGGAAGGCAACACCTTTTCTATTATTCAATTCTGGTCGTTTTCTTTCAATTGTCTGGCGTAATCTCTCTAGTTGTCCACAGTAGAGTTGAGAATCAATCGTCTGACTAACTGGAAGTATCTCATGGTGGACGATTCCCTTCCAGTCCCACCACACACACAGCATCACTTTTTTCGGCGTCAATCCTGGCTTCGCGAACGCTTGCGACGGCTCACCATCCCTTATCCACTATCTTTTACGCTTCCGATTGTCGTACGTGATCCATTTTTCATCACCGGTTATGACACGTTTCAGAAATGGCTCGATTTTATTGCGTTTTAGCAGCGCATCGCAGATGTTAATTCGGTCTATCATGTTTTTCGCGCTCAACTCATGAGGAACCCATACATCGAGCTTCTTTTTGTAGCCAGCTTTGTGTAAATGGTTCAAATCAGTTTTGTGGTCAATGCCTAGCTCCATATCAATATCGACATTGCTGATATGCTTATCTTGCTGGATTTTTTCAAGAATTTTATCAGCTTTTTCAGTGATTGGACAACCAGAGAGAGACTCATCTTTCACATAAAAATTACTAGAACGAAAGCGAGCGAATCATTTCCGCGCAGCAGATTTTGATAAAGTACCTTCACCGTACACAGCACAAATTTTTTCATAAGCCTGCGCAGCGTTCTTCCCTTTGTCATAATAATATTGCAAAATATAGCGCAATTTTTCATTACTTTTCTACATTTTCAAACGCAAACAACTTTCCAACCACTGCACCAATTTCGATATTTATATACTCAGAGTAACGCTCGAAGTGTCACCTTTCCAACGAACGTTTAGTGATGTCGCTGCGATCTGTATTTCCTGAGTTATTTGCAATTGACGCCATCTATCGGGAAAAACGTTACGAACTTTTTCCTAAACCCAATATATATTTACAATCAAAGCATACTTACATATTATATATAACTGGTAAGTACATATCCGGTAAAAAATTGTTTATATTATATATAATCATATATAACTATACGAAATATGAAGAATATATAAAATTGTGTAATTTTTATATAATTATATATAATTTTATATAAAAGTATTACAATTTCATATATTATTATTATCATATATAATCGTATATATAGGGTGTTTGATAGCTGATCATGCAGACGGAAGTTGGAGATAGATTGGGTGTAGCCGAGAAGAAGTCATGTACCATAATGTCAAATTGGCAATAATTACCGAGTTATTAATTAAAATATATGAGCCAACGAGCGCGTAGAGAGCGGAGGGCGGCCGCAGTAAGCACGTAGACATTTGATACAGGCGGAGTCAGAGAGTGGCGGTAGGCAAGCGCGCACGGCGAGGGACAACGTAAACGACAAGAGGCGAGCGCGAACGACGAGAAGCGAGCGAGCGCGAACGACGAGGAGTGAGCGAGCTATAAGGAAAAAGCTATAAAGAAAAAGCTCGCTCGTTCCTCGTCGCGCGCGATCGCTTCTTGTCGCTTACGTTACCCCTCGCCGCGCGCGCTTACCTACCGCCACTCACTGACTCCGCCTGTATCAAATGTCTACGTGCTTACTGCGGCCGCCCTTCGCTCTCTATGCGCTCGTTAACTCACATGTTTTAATTAATAACTCGGTAACTATTGCCAATTTGACATTATGGTATATAACTTTTCTTCTCGGCTACACCCAATCTATCTCCAACTTTCGTCTGCATGAGCAGCTATCAAACACCCTGTATAATAATTTGACATACATATTTTTATGTATTTCTCTATAATTCTGTATAGCTATATATGATTATATGTAATTATATGTGTTACTAGGTAAATATATATAAAAAACGATAAAATATAATAAAAAACAATGTAATGAACAGTTGTATAAAAATTACATTCATTACTTAATTGGAAATAAACACAATTATCCACATTTATCCTTTATAATTATACCTATACATGTTACATCTATTCTATAATCTACATTTATTTTTCTACAACTCTAAATACAATAAATAAATTAAATTTATAACATATAATGTATAATATAAAAATATAATAATTACAATAGCACTATTCATGACATACTCATGTTAAAATGAAAAAGTATGTACCTTCTTGTATATTCATATAAATGCAAAATAGTCCGCCACCAAATACGTCATATTCGGTTTTACCTAATGGTGGCACATCGGCCGATCTCTGATTAAGGATCCCTAAGCAAAAGTACAAGATCGGTGAAATGTTTCGAAAATAAGACATTTTAGAATAAAACGTTTCATACAAAAGTTGTAGGGTTTTAAAAAATGCATTAAACGCCGATATTTATTTGACGTTGAGCATAAGCTTGGAGGGGTTCTCAAGTTTAGGTTGAATTTTTTAAACAGAACACCCAACATTTCCTCTTTGCACACACGCACGCACGCACGCCTCGACACACACCAAACTACCTCCATGCAGTACACCGTGGATAATGTCAAGCTAATGCCGGCGATATTTGAACTTCCTCAACTCGAAAAATAATTTTCTTATAGTGTTTTGAAGAGCTCTCGAGATATGCTACAAGAATATATGATGAGAACTTGGGCATTCTATTTAAAAAATTCAATCTAAACTTGAGAACCCCTCCAAGCTTATGCTTAATGTCAAATAAATATCGGCGTTTGATGCATTTTTTGAAACTCTACAACTTTTGTATGAAACATTTTGTTCTAAAATGTCTTGTTTTCGAGATATTTCACCGGTTCGGTACTTTTGCCACACCCTGTATATGAACAGGCCAACTACATAGTAATGCCATCTGCAACTTTGTGGTCATTACATGAACATGGAAATACACGGGCAAAATAGGAGAGTCGGGGGGGGGCTGGGTTAGCTTTGTAAGAATATTGCACGGATGTTTTTATAAATAAATGTAACAAACAATAATGTTTCTTCCACATAGGACGCGTCAAAACTTGCCGCGCGGCAGAAAGCGCGATAATTTTGAGTAATTTGAATAATATACAAAACTAATGTTAAATAACTGAACCAAAGGTTATATAGAAAAGATGATTATATTATATATATATATATGTATAAATATGAACAATATTTCTGTAAATAAATAATAATTAAGAAATTAAAATTATTGGTGTATCAAGGTAATTTATATAAATATAATATTATTTATAGAATAAAAATTGTAATATTATTATTATTAATACTAATAATAATAAGTTATTATTATTATTTTATCTTGGCAACTGTTGTACAATGAGTATTGTTTGATAAGTGGCCAACTCCCATAGATGTTCTATTCACAAGGATATTCATATTTACAACATAATTTGTATGTATTATATGTATTTATATATATATTGTATGTATTTATATATATATTCATACATATACAATTAAAATAGATAGCAGATTATTGTCGGCCAGTTTAGAGTTTACTCATTGCTATTGTATCGTATTTTCCTTGCAGTAGTTATGTTGGGACAACCACCTTTAATTATATTTTATTATATGTAAATGATATATAAACTTTTTAAATTCTATAAAGCTTACTTGTGCTAATATCATACCCTAATGCTGGTTGAATATCCATTTCATCCATTAAAATAACACAATCGTTTTGATGTGAAGATTTATGAGTTTCCTTTTTCTTTATCATTAATAATGGAACATTTCTTAGCATATCAGGTTGAAAATTAAACTTTGTTATATATCTGCATAGTGTAGAATAAGATGGCAATGGTAAACCCAAATCTTTCTTTAGATACAAATAAGCCTTCCATCCAACTGTAAAGAATTAGTATATTCATAAATATCGATTTTTATATAAAAGATAATAATACTTGAATAATTATATTTAATAATAATGTGAAACTAACCAGTATATCTTATCTGTATAGCTAGTTGTAAACATTGCGGAGACCATTTTGTCTTTTGCTTGGAAAGTCCTAATATGAATTGTTTGAAAATTGGTGATTTTTCAAGTTTTTTAGACAGTGTTATGTACCTTTTTTTATATGTTTCCATGGCTTTTGTTGTTTTTAATCGCAAAATTTTCTCATTTTCATATTTGGATTTGAAAACAGTACTTTTTGTTCGTTCTTGCTCCAATTGTTTGAGTAAATACTTTATTTCATTAGCTTGTTGGATAGTTCCTTCTTCATTAATCATGGACTTTGTTTGTAACTTCTGTGCAGTTATCTCATCATCTGTTTCAACACTTACGTATGCAGCAATTGGAACTAATTGAGTTTGTTGTTCACTCGGTACATTTTCACAATTTCTTACAATTTCATTGTAACCACATTCTTCATTAAAATTAGATAAAGCATGATTTGTTGGTTGAATTTGTTGCTCTACAAATAATAAGAGTTTTTGTGTGAAACAGTATATGTATGTATTTACATTTATGAATAATAAAAGAAAATAATCAAATTATTTTGGACTTATCACCAATTGAAGATGGATCAGAATTACTTCCAAAAATAGTTGGAATAGCATTGGGTTTCAATTTCCGCCATCCATCTTGTCGTCGATTTTCAAATTGTGAGTCATCAAAATGATACTATAAAAACAAGAGAAAACATTTTTATAATTTTCAATTTAATATATTCTAATGATCACGAAATTTTAAATCAGTAAAATAATATATTTACATACCTCGCATAACCTAGCATTCAATGTTGGATTTTTGTCACATTTCTCTGCCCACACGGTTTTTCGTTTTTCATCCCGAGGAAATAAAAACATCCGAAAACCATGTTCACTGCGATTTTTGCAATTTCTTGCACTACAAGCCGGCATTGTAATTGTTTTTCTTCTGGAAATTCTCACTGGTATTTTGGAATGTGTTTAAATTATGTTTTGATTACTTGTTCATTCACACAACTAAATCATAATACTATATACAAAGTATCACGTACATATACCAACAAAGATTCTCTGGCACGAAAATGGCGACCGTGTAAAGACCATAGATATAAAAATATAGAGATGGAGCGTAAGCTCGGGGGGGTTAAGCCATTAGGCCTGTTCGTTTTGTCTACACTGCTGAACTGGTGCAAGTTGAAGTGAGAAAACCTACGTTTGTTTCACTTTAACTTAGGCTGCGTTCCGATATTCACTGCCAGTACTGAAAATATATAGTTTCTGTCACGTATATTATAGATTTTTAGTGCTGGTAGTGAATATCGGAACGCAGCCTTAATGTACCAGTTCAGCAGTGCAGACAAAGCGAACAGGCCTATTTCGAGGAGGGTGACAGGGTAAAGTGTGAGCACTTTTCATTGGTTGTTATTGTACGCATGCATATATAAACAGAGAAACATTGACTACGTTTACACGACTTCTAACTTCAACTTAAGCTAGTGACACACGGTGCTTGTTTTCGTGCTGGATTGCTTGCTGGATGAAAATACTGCGTTCTGATTGGTACTTTTCCGAAGATGGATGGAAATGCACCAATCAGAACGCAGTATTTTCATCCAGCAAGCAATCCAGCACGAAAACAAGCACCGTGTGCCGTTGGCTTTAGTAACTACCGTAGTTAGTGCAGTCTTGAATCCGATTAGAGTATATTTTTAGATCTAAAAGAATATACCAATCGAATCAAAGAATTCACTAACTACGGTTGTTACTAATCCAGATTAACCTTGCCGTGTAAACGTAGTCATTGTGAAGAGGTTATAGGAAGTGAAACACAGCAGTGTAGATAAGAAATAAAATTAGATTTGTTATTACAAGAAATAATTGTAAGCTTTCCTAATAGGTAATAGCTTAGATCAGAGCTGGCCACAATCTGCACATTTCGGGCGAAATTCAGTAGGTGACGCCTACCGTTCCCCTCCCACCGCTCCGCGCTCAGTGACTAGGGCGACGATTGTGATGCGCTCAGGCCCGTCGCTGTATAAGAAATCGGCTGAGGCGTACCCTTGCGACATATTATCATTAAAATTGTTTCCTCGTTTAATAATCACTTTAAAATAAATATGTTTACGTGTTTTATAAATATATATATATATATATATACAGGGTGCACGATTTATCTGAAGACATTGAAATATCTCGAGAACTATGCATTGGATAAAAAAAGTGGTTAATAAAAGTTGTTAGTCTCGAAGGGGGACATCCAATGATACCAAACTCGACTTCCCACCCCACCCCCTGGGGGTGGGGGTTGGGGGCAACTTTGAAATCTTAAATGGAAACCCCCATTTTTATTGCAAATACGGATTCTACGTCACAAAATGCGTAAATTTTGTCCGAAACTTTTTTTTGATTCGTGATAGATGGCGCTGTAATCGCAAAAAATTATATTTTCCGCAATTCTCCAGAAATGATCATTGGATTGAGAAATAAAAAATACCTTCAATATTTTTAAAGAACATAATAAAAGTTATTCCCCCCCATCCTCTCGGGGTAGGGTGGGTGATAACGTTCAAATCTCAAATGGGGACCCACATTTTTCATTGCAGAATTAGATTGTACGTGAAATTTTTATTGAAACAATTTTTTTCATTTGTGATAGATAGAGAATTGCACTGCCTTTTATAATAAGCCGTAGTTCGCCATACACTCACAGTGGCGCGTCGAGCAGTTCCCTCTTCGATTCGGGTTCCCATTTGAGAGTTGAACGTTACCACCCACCCTACCCCGAGAGGATGGGGGGGGAATAACTTTTATTATGTTCTTTAAAAATATTGAACAGATATTTTTTATTCCTCAATCCAATGGTCATTTCTGGAGAATATAATTTTTTGCGATTACAGCGCCATCTATCACGAATCAAAAAAAAAAGTTTCGGACAAAATTTACGCATTTTGTGACGTAGAATCCGTATCTGCAATAAAAATGGGGGTTTCCATTTAAGATTTCAAAGTTGCCCCCAACCCCCACCCCCAGGGGGTGGGGTGGGAGGTCGAGTTTGGTATCATTGGATGTCCCCCTTCGAGACTAACAACTTTCATTAACCACTTTTTTTATCCAATGCATAGTTCTCGAGATATTTCAATGTCTTCAGATAAATCGTGCACCCTGTATATATATACATATATATATATATACATATTATATTATATATATATATATATATATATCAGGTGTAGTAAAAAGAAATCCATTATTTTTCCAATAGATGGCTTTAGTTATTTGTATCTCGCGTTGTATAAGTCCGATCGGGTTCCACTAGATGGCGTTAGAAAGATGAGATTTCGTCTAAAAAAATTTTTCTGACAGTTTTGTAATTAGTTGACTCAGTTTTGTTTGAGCGCGCGTCAAAGATGAACACTAGCAAAGAGAAAATACGCTATATTTTACAGTTTTTCTTCGATAAAGGCGAAAACGCAAGCCAGGCGACTGAAAATGTGAATAGTGTTTATGGTCCTGATACTGTAACAACCAATCACGCGCAATTTTGGTTTTGTCGATTCCGTTCCGGTAATTTCGATGTCAAAGATGCACCACGCACTGGAAGGCCAATTGTCGAAAATATCGATAAAATCATGGACATTGTCGAGTCCGACCGTCATGTAAGCACTGTTTCGATTGCCCAAGAGCTAAAGATTGCACAAAAAACCGTTTGGAACCATTTGAACATGGCTGGATACAAAAAGAAACTCGATGTATGGGTGCCGCACGAATTAACGAAAAAAAACCTCATGGACCGAATTTCCATCTGCGAATCGCTGCTGAATCGCAACAAAATCGACCCATTTCTGAAGCGGTTGGTCACTGGTGATGAAAAGTGGATCACTTACGACAACGTCAAGCGAAAACGGTCGTGGTCGAATCGCGGTGAGCCGGCGAAAACGGTGGCCAAGCCAGGATTGACGGCCAGAAAGGTTTTGCTGTGTATTCGGTGGGATTGGCAGGGAATTATCTACTATGAGCTGTTCCCCTACGGCAAAACTCTTAACTCGGAACTGTACTGTCAACAATTGGACCGTCTGAAGGAAGTAATCGCCCAGAAGCGGCCAGCTTTGGCCAATAGGAGAGGAATTGTGTTCCATCAGGACAACGCCAGGCCACACACATCGATAGTGACTTGCCAGAAGCTCCGGGAGCTTGGTTGGGAGTTCTTATGCATCCACCTTATAGTCCGGACCTGGCACCAAGTGATTACCATCTATTCCTGTCCATGGCGAACAATTTTGCTGGTGAAAAATTCGCTTCAAGAGAGGCTTGTGAAAATCGACTGTCTCAATTTTTTTGCCAATAGGGACGAGGGCTTCTATGAGAGAGGCATAATGAAATTACCTTCAAAATGGCAACAAGTTATCGAACAAAACGGCGCATATTTGACCTAAATTGGATCATTCTAACTATGGTAATTAAAGTCTTCAATTTCATGCAAAAATAATAGATTTCTTTTTACTACACCTGATATATATTATATTACATATATATGTATATATATGTGTGTGTGGTGTGTGCGCGCATGCGCATATATATATATATATGCGTATGCGCACACACACACACACACACACATATACATATATATGTAATATATATATATAATATAATATAATATGTATATATATATATATGTATATATATATATATTTATAAAACATGTAAACATATTTATTTTAAAGTGATTATTAAACGAGGAAACAATTTTAATGATAATATGTCGCAAAGGTACGTCTCAGCCGATTTCTTATACAGCGACGGGCCTGAGCGCATCACGATTGTCGCCCTAGCCACTGAGCGCGGAGTGGTGCGAGGGGGACGGTAGGCGTCACCTACTGAATTTCGCCCGAAATGTGCAGATTGTGGCCAGCTCTGGCCTAGATAATACAAGATATTCAAAAATCGTCTACCATAATATATCCAATGACGAACATAAGTAAAGAGTAAAGAATATCCTAAAATATCCTAGGAGTATCCTAAGATATCTTAAGTGTGTCTAAGACAATATTAGGGATAATTTGTGGTATTTGGATGCAATGAATTATTTTTAAAAAGCAGTTTTTTAACCCTGAATGTGTGTATGTATGTGTTTATAAAGTCATTTATTTAATAAAATTGTATTATTTAAAGCTATGTAAATAATATAATGTTGTTAATCGGGCCTTGCAAGAATATACATTAGAATGTGTTGTTTTCAGCGCCACTGTGCCTGTGCATCATTTCATCCAATGAAAAATGCTCACATTTTACCTCGTCGCTCCTCCCTCAGTGGTTTCACCGCCCTAGTCTAAGTACTAAGTTCACGCTTCATCTCTATATTCCTATACCTATGGTAAAGACCCATAAATGACTACGTTTACACGGCAAGATTAACCCGGATTAGTAACAACCGTAGTTAGTGAATTCTTTGATTGGATTGGTATATTCTTTTAGATCTAAAAATATACTCTAATCGGATTTGAGACTGCACTAACTATGGTAGTTACTAAGTCGAAGTTAGAAGCCGTATAAACGTAGTTCCTATAATATTATTATGGCTGCCAGAGAAAAGCCTGAGAGCGGGCATGGCTGCATTTACAGCGTTATGGAAAAGTTGGCTGATTCGAAACGCCAACTAGGTCCATTTTTCATGGACATGAACTACTAAGCTAATGTCCATTTGTGGGTACTATTCCGTGCTATGTCCATAATTATTTGGTTCTGTTCTGTGCTATGTTCACGAGCGAGCTAGATTAGTTAGATAAAAACAAAAAATCGGTCTTTGTCTCACCACCAACGAATAGACGATCGCGACGAAACGAGCCAGCAGCGATGTATCGTAAGGCAGACGTCGCCGTCTCCCCTTTCAACCCCTTATTTTCCTTCCCACATTGTTTTATATTCATAATTCAGGAAGAAAATAATATCGAGAGTATTCGGACGATTTCTAGCAATGACGCGACAGAGATAACACGCGGCTACATTAATTTGTCATGACTTTTATATTACTTATAATTACATAAACGCCCATATATGCAAATTATAGATAATTATTGCGCG